TGACTTCCGCGTGAGAAACTAACGAGTAAATGGTCAGAAATTAACGCAGCCATTCCAAACAAACTGTACATCATCGGACTCGTCTTAAAACGCTGTTTTCAAATATGTTTTTTACCTGCCGCGAATATCTGGGAGGAGTTATGAGGGTTCAAATATGAAAAATTCTTCAAGTTTCGACGAATATATTTCCTTGAAAGGTAGCCTGATGGCGCGGATTTACAGTGGCTATAGTTATTTCACTTACAAGGAAGCGCGTTTACTAATAACCTAAATAAGTGTTCATGAAACCTATTTCGTGGGACGTGCGCCACAGAACACTTGACAAATCGCACATTTCAACGCTCGTAACATCTTCCATATAGGCGCTTGGCAGGAAAAAACATATATTTGTAATCAGTGTTTCAAGACGAGTGCGATGATATACAGCTTGTTTGGTATTTCTGGCTTAAGTTCTGACCATTCCCTGCTAAGATACCGAGGCTTGGCATATTTGCTAAACAATCCTAAGCTTCTCTTAAATAGGTATCAGTCTAGTATGAAGTTGTTTAGTATGAACCTTTGTGGCCGTATTCATCAACAAACCCTGAGGGTTAAATTATCCTAGAGAGTAAGTTTAACCCCGGAAAGCGATTAACCCGTATTCCCATAGCACACGGTAGGCTTAACCCCAAGGTTTGAATCTACCCTTTAGGGTGATCCTTACCCCGGAGCGATTGACCCGTATTCATGAACGTGATTCATCAGGGTAAAAAAAACCCTAGCGTAGAGCAAGATTAGCTTTATCCTGACATTCATGCAAATATAAAGTGATCTCTCAATCCGCTTAGCCCTAACGATACTATTTGACAACAAACGCATATATTTTATCAATATCATCTTGAGTTTGTTAAGTCCTCTTCTGTCTCGTCTGATCATATTATAAATTAGGGTAAAATTCTTCTATTACTTTATTGTTTAAATTAAAGCGTATTTATTTGAGTTACGACAATATGATCTGTAAACGCTATAATGGACTAAAATTTGATTGAGGGAGCTTCAGCCAAATTTTGTTAAACAATGGATGTATCTGAGTTATTGAGCTTGATGTTCGGTCCTTAGTTGGACATGTACTTTATTCAAAAATAAAACTTTACTGTAGCAACTCGGCCTATACCTGATGATAACATCAAACGAAAACACAAAAAGAAGCCATAGAAAGTTTGCGATAGTAGTAATTATAAGTATGTGTTTATTGTCAAAAAGTACGCTAGGACCGAGTGGCGCATCGAGAGACCACTTTTGATCTTTGTAGAGGTAACAGAGTGAATAATCTTGCTCTGTGCTAGGGTTAAATTTACCCTGATGAGCCACATTCGTGCATACGAGTCGATCGCTCTCTGGGGTAAGGTTGACCCTCGAGGGTAAGATTAACCTTCAAGGCAGTGGCGTACCGAGGGGGGGGGGCGCGCCCCCCCCCCCCGAGAATGGTCGCGAAATTTTTGAAAGTTACTTATATGGGTTATAAAAATGTGCAAGTGACTTGTTTATTTTTGTAAACAATTAAAATAATTTTTAAAAATTTTTAAAAATTCGAAATAGCCTTGTAAAAAAATTTTTTTCCGGGGCGTGGCTGGCGCCACGCCCCCTTTTTCCGGATTTTAGGGGTTGAGGACCCCAAAAGTTTTGAGAAGCACCCCTAAAATTTTTTCGGAGTGCGTGGCTAACGCCACGCACCTTCATTCGAAAAAAAGGTTTTGTCGCCCCCCCCCCCCCCGAGCGGAAATCCTGGGTACGTCACTGCTTCAAGGGTTATATTTACTCTCAGGGTTCGTCAATCGACACGGGTTAATCGCTTTTTGGAGCAAATTCTACCCTCCACTCAAGGGTTCGTTGACGAATACGGCCAATGAACCCTGAAAGTAAAACCTACCCTTGAGGGTAAGGTTTACCCTCAGGGTTCGTTGATGAATACGGCCAAACAGGAGAAGTATAAAAACAGAAACGGTATCTAGTTCATGTTTATACAGAAGTACAAACATAAAATTTCAGCTCCTTACAAAGTTTAGTTTGAGAAAAAAACGCAAAAAAGCGAAAATCGCAACAAATTTGCATTTCTGATCTATTTTCGTTTCTCGTAACTCAGCCATGAAAATTCCACAAACTGTACACGTGAATGTCTGGCGTGGAGATACATGCCTGAGTAAATCTGAGGTTCGTGGGAATTCTATGGACGGGATTGGATTTTTCGACTATGAAATTTGTGTACATTCTGGTTTCAAATTTGAGTGGATCAAAGTTTGCGCGAATGTTTGAATGCCTTCCTGTAGAGCTTGCTTTGCTCTATCAAATGATGCCCCATTTTTTCGTTCTCACTCTGAAGTGGGAGAATGCATAGCGACATTTTTCGGACAACCCAAATAGTTTGCTCTTTTTCCCCATATAAGCGGCTAGTGTCACATCATTATCTGTGCGCTGTAAACGAGTCATCGTTAAGTATTCGCTCAGTTTCCTGTTAACATGGAAATTCATTTTCAAAATGCAAAATAGTTGTTGGAGCACGTCTGTAAAATCTTGTGCGACAGGGCTAGCAGTGTCGGAAGGGACGCATATTGACATGTATCTAAAGTACCCTTACTCTTGTTTTAATCCTCAAAACATTACCAGATTTGTATTTGCTAATCTCGTTTCGGGCCTGCACTAATGACCGGGAGCGAGTTGATTATGTGATATGTGTGGGGATAGATAAGTGAACAGCTTTAAACGTTTTTTTGTAATGTAAGGGCAGAGTTTACGCACCTGTTTCTCATGTAAATCTTGCAAACCAAAACAAAATTGAATTATGGGCCCGCACTGCCATGTTTACTTACTAAAGGTGGTCGTGTCGGTAGATGTAGTTCTCTCCTTATTTTGTTTGACCTCTCGGTCGATGCTTTGCGCACTTGCAGCGCAAAGTGCTAGCGTTGCGGAACGTATGGTTTTGATTCGGTTTGCCTAATCCCGATTAGGACAGGCAAATATTTGATGTACTGAATACGAACTCAAGTTTGTGTCTTGTTAAAAATCGTACATAAAGGGGGAAGCTTGTATTAATTCATGTTTCCATCTGCTTAAGTATGTTTTCAAATTTTTCTAAAACGCTCTTTCTCTAAACGCTGCTGTGTGAACCGCAAAAATTCTAGTTTAGTAACAGTTGTATACCTCATTCTGTATCACAAATGTAAACGTTTATTATATTCAGCTGTACTATCTAAGCTAGGAAATTAAAATAACACTAAAAGAAACTACAAGCTGTAGATAGCCCCTGGTATGTCCAGTTTAGATTAACTTGTCTGCCTCTGCCTTAACGCGGTACTGCTTTGAAAATAGGTTCCGGAACAAATTTCCAAAGATGTACGCTATGCTACGCAGTCACATGCCAGAAACTGGAATTCTAAGTTTTATTTCCATGCTGCGGAAAAACTCCGCAAAATAAAAGGCGTTACACTATATGTGTGTATATTAGGTCGTTCCATAAGTTCGTACCGTTTTCATTCTGGTGCTCATTTCTCTGAAAAGCGGCTGTTTTGCGGCAAAAAGGGTACCTTTTAAACACGCCAATCACGCTCTTCAAAATGAACTTGTTGATCTAGGTGAGTCTGATCTGCTTCAATTTCCCAGCTTCCGAAGGTGGATTCTCAAATCAAAATGAAACATTTTCGACGCTGCTCATTTTTCTCGCAGAGAAAGTGTTCCTGAACAGACTTTTTTGCCGATTGTTGAGAGGGCTTCGTACCAATATGAGATACAAAAGCGGATTGCTTCAAAAGGCCAGGGGCTTAACAGGTGCCCCTCGAACAAGAATTTTGGTGGGAAGAGAGGGATACTGCCGTTTAGCAAATCCCTATGCAAGAAAAAGACCCAAAAGACATTTCGGTGAGTTTTGCATGACAGTGTATAGCTCCGTACGGCAAACACTTTCAAAACTGCTTTGCAAAACTTGACTGGCGGATAAGTTAGTATGCGCGTACTGCTTAGACCTGGATCGTTGCGCCAGGTGAAAATTTGTCCCGTACCCTCATAAACCATTTCAGCAATGCTTCTTCCAATTCTGAAGACGATCTCAAGCGCTGCCTAGACGACTTTTTTGGGACCAGACTCGCCGAGTTTTGAAAAACGGTCTGCAAATTTGACGCAAGCTGGCAGGTTGTGCGCATCAAGGGGTCATATATTATCCACCGATTTAATGAAATTCCACCATTTTATTAGAAGGTACGAACTTACAAATAACCTGATATTTCTGTATTCATTAATGCGCCAAAAAATACAAAACAACACAGGAGAAATAACTCGATCGAGACCAGAAAGTGCCTTGCCATTCATGTAGATGGATTGGTAAAACAAATAAATAAATGAACCGTTTTCATTGCTAAGAAATTTGATTGTCATAAAAAATTAAACATGACGTAATATGATAACAAGAGCAACAGTAGGCCCCGAAAAATTGTCTTAAATATGAAGCTGAATGCGTGCTTGTCTCTGTGTCTGTCTATATGTATGTGCGAAATACAAATTTCTATTTCAGAACCAATCCGAACAAACTTTGCACACATATACTTGGTGGCGGTGAGTGTGACATAGGCTATTTTTTGATATTGACCGATATCGATTTTATCGATCTTATCGACTTTATCGATTGCCAAATTTGAATTACGGGACTATTAGTTGGTCAAGGAATAAGTGGGCATGTTGACTAGAGAACGAAACGGGATGGGGAACTGGCATATAGAAGTGGGCACAAAGAACGATTGTACAGGTGTAGGGACAGTGACCTTCATCATACTGTTTTGACAGTGCCGGGAGGAGCCGGGTATGCCAGCTTGTTAGTCATAAATTCTATATGTGTTAAGGTTGCCTGCACTTCTGTGCAGATTCTCATTCGGACTGCCTTATATTTCAGTGAATTATTTGCAGATCAGTAATTGAATGATTCGGTATAAATCTAATCTCAAGCAATGTACATGCTGTCCTCCTTTTCATTACTTATGGTGTTTGCACTTGCTGCTGCTCATGTAACAAACCCGGTAGTCAAGAAGATATACGAGGAGGTGAGGTCATCTGTAATGATTGCTTGAGAATATTTTGCTTTGATGCACGTTTTTATAGTGCCATTACGAATGTTCCATAAAAGTAAGCAAACTCGACGCGCACTGGATTCCATGCGTTCCCAACTGCATGGAAGTAAAACTAAAAGTTGCTTTGAAAAGCCAAAAAGACTCTAGAAGCTTTCTCGAGAAGATTTTGGCAGGATTTAGAATCAATTTTGTAGTTCCATATCAATTGAATAAAAATTGAGTTTCTATATGTTGCTTACGTGTCTTTCAAAATTCACCAAGACGGTGCAAATTTACACAGCGCTTTCGAAATCCGTTAGTTTGTACCCTTAAGAAAGCTACTTTACCTAGCTCGGCCTTTTGGCAAGGGACATGTACGTTCTGAATCAGCTTCAAACGCTGATTCCAAATAAGCTTTCCTTAGCTGCCGCGCACCGTTCCAAAGCGAGTTTGGGATTTTTCCTGCGCAAACGGCATGCTACTGAACTTGGAAAGACCGCCTATAGATAAAAATTTGCATATAAAATGTGTTGAGATATCGAAATAAGCCAAATCCTTTTGGCTTATTTGATATCTCAACAAAAAGAAGCTCAATGCAAGTGTATTAGTACTTACAAGGGAAGGATACTCGGTCGAAGTGGCCATTTGGAATGAGCTGTATATTAGGAAACCGTCCTCCGTAAGGCAAACTCAAAACTACTTTCGGTAGGTGCCGAGCGGTTTTGTGGGGGGAGTTACAAAGCCATTTTCCTCCGGCGCAGCCAGCGCAGCCAGCGCACCCAGTGATGAGCGAGGCGCTAAAATGGCGCACCAGTGTGGCGGTGGCGCAGTGGCAACCCAGCGGACTACGAAGCAGATGGTCGAGGGTTCGAGTCCCGTTGGTGCCATTTTGTTTTGCAGTTCTGTAAAAAGTCTATTGGGTGACAGCAAACGAGAAATACTAGTTCTAGGCAGTTCAAACAAGCTATTTACTGCAAAAAAGTCACTATTCTACAATAAGCCATAATCTTTTACAGTATGTAAATCTGTGGAGGTTATGATGTCACAACAATGGGTTCAAACGATATATTAACACATATGAAATACAACCACAAATGCTCAAAGCAGAAGAGCTTCTCGCAACGCGCGCACTTGCAAAATTGCAATCGTTCACATCTCATTTATTGGCTCTTGATCTGAACTCTACCTTGTATCATAGGGATTCCATCCTTTAAGAACTTATCGCTCATTTACATATAATTTTTCTCGCCGCGAATCAAAAATTTGCTTTCATATCCATGGATGCAGCCGGATACATTGCAACCACCCCGGCGAATTCGAGTCTCCTATTCAGTACTGTTTTTCACCGACTTTGACAGGCAATTGTGAAGCTGCTGATTGTCATCGTTTTATTTTATCCGATGTGCGCGCTGCGAGAAGCTCTTCTACTTTGAGCATTTGTGATTTTACTTACAGGTTAATATATCACTTGAATCCCTTGCTGTGACATCATAACCTCCACAGATTTACATACTGTAAAAGATTATGGCTCATTGTAGAAATAGTGACTTTTTTGCAGTAAATAGCTTGTTTGAACTTCCTAAACTAGTATTTCTCGTTTGCTGTCACCTAATAGACTTTTTACAGAACTGCAAAATAAAATAGCAGCAACAAGACTCGAACCCTCGACCATCTGCTTCGTAGTCCGCTGCGTTGCCACTGCGCCACCGCCACACTGGTGCACCATTCTAGCGCCTCGCTCATCACTGGGTGCGCTGGCTGCGCCGGAGGAAAATGGCTTTGTAACTCCCCCCACAAAACCGCTCGGCACCTCCGAAAGTAGTTTTGAGTTTGCCTTACAGAGGACGGTTTCCTAATATACAGCTCATTCCAAATGGCCACTTCGACCGAGTATCCTTCCCTTGTTAGATGATGATGCTGGATGCCAGTGAGTCAATAAGCAGGGCAATTTTGCGCAGGAAAAAACCCATAACTCGCTTCGGAACGGTGCGCGGCAGCTAGAAATAGCACATTTGGAATCAGCGCTCTAAACTGATTCAGATTATATATGTCCCAAAAAGGCCGAAATAAGTTAGGTAGCACCCCTCGTCAGCAGCAGCCAGATAAACAATTATGACAATTCGGACCTGTGCTGCGTATGGTGCACATTTTGCATTACCCTTGAATTAGGCTTTCTAGTTAGATCCAAAACTGCTTCTATAATGGTTTGGGTGTACGTTTCAACAGTGTTTCGGTATCAGTAGGAGTGACTTGAGGTATGGACGCTTAGATAAGCAACACTTGCAAAACAGATGTACGAGCGTCGCTTAGATTCTTCGTGAATAAAAAACCGGCATTGGAAAACAAGGCAATGGTACAGAAGTAATTTTATCTAGTGATAAGTGTAGTTTTGATTTCTAGCAATAAGCCTTTGTCCTGTTATCAAGGACATAAAACTTAGAATTTTTGATTTTTTGAGGTTTTGCATGGTTGAGGTAAATTGACACCGCACCTGAGATTTGAAATTCCTAGGAAATGAATATTAGGGATATCTGGACGAGAAAACCCAAATTCTCTCAAAAATTTTTCGTTCAGAAGCCAAATATATGATCAACGCAGTTTCATTCACGTCATGATCTTTGCGTTTTGAGCAAATCACTAGATTGGACCTATTATTCGAATAAATCATTTGAATACGAATGTTTCGAATATTTGAAAATTCAAAAATTTGAGATTTCGAATAATACTCAATAGTCGAATATTCGAGATCTTTCGTTTTCGAATATTATTCGAAAGTCGAATATTCGAAATTCAACTTTTAAGTATTATTCGATAGTTGAATATTCGATGGTCATCAATTCAATCATTCGATGGTCATCGAATATTCGAGTATTCGATAAGATCGACTATGCGAAAATGTGATGATCATCGATTCATGGAAAATTCGATATTCATAGTATATACATGGTCCCACAAGGTATCTACACTTTGTTTGATTAATAGTATCTCATCTAAGTAAGCTTTTGCCAACCTTTAAGTTCCTGCAGGGCTAGCTTCACCTTCCATCTACAGCAAGGAACAGCCTTCTATTGTTGTGGGATCACGGTAGGAACAGGGCCTGGCAAGATGATTCGGGGTCAAACTGAACTTCGTTTTTGCAGTCAGAAGCAACGGGGATATCGTTTTTGTAAGATCCTGGAGGAAGCGCCGAAAAAATGACACAAGTCACGTTTTACGAGTTGAACGTGTTCTTTCGCAAGCGCGCGAATTTCAAACGCAAGACGCAAACAAACAAATGGCTTGTTTACAACGCGCAAACAATCACATAGCTCCGAATTTGGGCTATGCGTATACAATATCACTCCAAATATGTTATGTAAAAAGTTTCAAAAAAGTGTCCTAATATCCGTTCCCGAATTTGTTGGTTTCTAGACCAACACCAAACCAACTGGGTTGGTTTGGAACTAACATCGGAGAGTTCACATAAGTTTTGGACATTCTCGATTTGGACGATTAAAACGGTCAAAAATTCATCATATAATGAAGAGAGTGAATCAAACCATTGCCTCTCCTCTTTTTTTGAGCCAAAAGTGGTGTAATTCTACGCGATGATAGATATCGCGCTCCAATCACGTGCTGTGTCCTTCAAACTATGTGGCGAAAAATGCATTGCCAGATTGTTAAGGCCGCAGATTTGGTTGGCGTAGGAGGTTTTCGACGTTTTAGCACTGAATTGGTACTTTACATAATGACAGAGCCTTTAACCGACTCGAAATGTTTTCTTTTTGCTTTTTTAGTATATTAGGTAACTCAAAATGCGCTCTTCTCGCTTTTTCATTGTTATTTTGGTCGAATAAGGGTTTTCCTACTGATTTTTACGTCGAGAGGGACTTCGTAAATTTTCGCAAAAGTATGAGGGACTTCGTTTCCAAAAATGCTCCAAAACCAACGCGTGCCGGACCCTGGGTAAAAGCTTTCAGCATATAGAGCCACCTGCGATACATGTCGTTTGAAAACTTTTCCAAAAACATTTATCACGTTTTTGAGAAACATTGGAAACATTTATTACGGTTTACTTTGGTACGAAAAAGGCATAGTTGAATACTTCCATTATATACAAAGCCAGTGACTTCGAAACCCAGTGTAAGAGAGTTCGGTTCTTTGGTTTCCTTTTATAGACAAAATATGGACCTCATAGTCCCAAACTCCTTCACTTAGTACTATGGTGAACTTATAGTAATGAAAAGCGATTGGAAGATCGCTCCATAGTAAAGCTAAGAAAGCCAGCAATAAAAAACGTACTCAAAGTTTGGCAAAAGTTTTCGTGGCTCAGTAATGATTGACTATTTCTACATACTTTTGGGACCCCTGTTTACCATCTCACAAACTCAACAAGCGTATATACAGGGTGTCCGTAAAGTATGTATACACTGATATTCCACGTTCGACTATTTCTGAATCTTGGCTTAGTGTCAATTACGATATCTGATGTTAAGCTTTCCAAGATTGATAGTTCCTTCCTTTATTGCCAGTAACAGTTAACAATCAGTACGGTCTACGTTTCGGCGAAGATCGCCTTCTTCAAGACCTGGAAGCGAGTCAATGTGTGCAGTAATTCACTCCACGGGTAGACATACCTTCAGCAATACTGTGTAGGGTACGCCCACCACTATGACAACGTGTCAGACCACTACTCGCCGTTTAGTGTGATGGAATGAACTTTCCTTGTATGGTCAGACTCGAATCCACACATTTGTAGGAAAGGGGCAAGTTCATTGCTGACGGCAACCCTTTCTCCTTTCCTGTTTAGTTTAGGACATCTGCATGATATCCAACAAGCCTCTATGGCTTTTCGCGCGGCAATATTCGTTTCTTTGGAAAGAACAGATATGCTGATGTCAAACGCGATGTCCTGGTGGGAAAGTTTTCGATGTGCGCCTAAAGGCGTGGACACTCGCGATTTTCGCATTCCATCCAAATGTTCGTTTATTCTTAGGCATAACGGTCTTCCTGTTTCTCCAATATATTCTTCACCACACATTTTACAAGTTATAAGATACACAGTACCTCGGCACATGCAATCTCCCCTTTATTGGAATTGCATACAATGCAGTTCGCCTTCACACACGCTTGATCATGACTTCTATTGCGCACTAGGAGCTGTTTTAGGTTCGGAGGCGGGATTTCGACAAGTCTTAGCGAATTTTGCAAGCCGGATTTATATATGCAACTCCTGATCGCAGCGCTTGACTTACCAGATAT